TCATAGATTACTTTTATGCTATACAGTTCAACTCACTGTACCAGATTAAGAGCCAAACTAAACATAATGTCAGGCTTATAATTAGCAATTGCATAAAAGATTTTAAAAAGTAAATTACATGCATAGAGCTTTTAACTGTCTTGAGACCGAGAATGCAGTGAGAGTATATGCATGCAAAGGAGTTTTTTTAACCCTTTGTTCTGGCCATGATCCTCATAAATTAAAAAATTAACATAAAGTGCAAAGTAATATCTCAAAAAAGAAATCGGCGACAGGCATTTTGTTTCTTTTTTTTTTAATGTTACCATTCGTCTATCAATGAACTACTCTGATTTAGTTTGCTTGACCGCTCAAGCAAATTTACCAATAAAACAAGCACCAGGGATTATTATAAGCCTCTGCCAACTGACACATGTAATGTGAAATGGTTGGTTCTTTGCCATAGATTAATTTTAACCCATTTCGCTATGGGTGGTTGACACATGGCAAAAAGCTATAATGTTTGATTTCACCTGATATATGAGTTTAGCCATTCTGGTCTGACACTGTGGCTTATACCTTAGCATTATTTGTGAACCAGATTGTACAGCAACAAGGAGCAAATATTCTGACTTAGCATGATGTGTTAAGCCCTCCTTTAATATAAATCATCTATGTTAGATTTTAAAATAAAAAAAACTACAGTGTGATCATTTATATTTGAACATAAAGCTTACCTACAGTTCTTTACTTTCCAGCAAAGTTTCTCTGTTTGCAGAGAAACATCCTATTCATAGGAAGCACTATGCTGTGCTTTGATTTTCCATCAGTAAAAATGGGATAACAGAATTTTTTTTCATTCATAAAGAAGAGAAAGAATTTAATGTGTAAGGTATAATATTTGAATGTAGAAATATTGGGGTTATCAAAGTATATATATAATTTCCCATGCCATGGGATTTGAGCATATGGTTCCATTAGCCTTGAATGATAGGAAAATGCCTCAAGAATGGCATGGTGACTGTGTGCGGGTATCCAATGTATATTCTCAGAACAGCATATACATTATGGTATGGTAAGAATCACTTAAGTTAATGCCAAGTTCAAAAAGCAATGTTACTGAAACAAAAATTCTCTTCACTAAATACAAAGGGGAGAGAGAGAGAGAGAGAGAGAGATGGAAAGTCCATGAAATTTTAATATGTTGGCCATTACGTACACCATTTATTTCTAATACTAATATAACAAGAATGTCTAAGTACAGCAGTAGTGTACGCTGATTTGCCCTTCTTAATGGTTCTGTTATAAATCCTTTCAATTACTATTAGTGAAAGTGTATACTTTTTTGGTAGTTTTGCCCTGGATTGTCAGTTCTATGGACAGCGGACATTTCAGCTGCTGAGCTGCAACTGAGTGTAACTCTTTGAAGAAATTTTCAGTTTCCTACAAAACAGTTATGACAGAACTGCCCGGACATTTAAACTACATTAAATGGTATTTGAAACCATTTCATAAAAATAGATACAAGCACACTTGTAGTTATATGGAAAACTCATGGAAATCATCAATTTTTGGAATATGATATGAAGAATATGACTTAACACTTCCAGTAAACTTCAATTATTTCCTAGAGAATATTTGAATTTTTTTTTGTCTCTCTCCCCCACACACCCACACACATACAGAAACCAATTCCCATTATTATTTCATAGTTAGAGGCACAAGGCCATATAGTTTTGGTTTAAGAACTCAGGCTGAAAAATAAAATGTAAAGTTGCATTCAAGTAACTTCCCTAAAACTAGAAAATATAACTATCTACAAATTAATTATACAAAAACTTGGTATACAGGAACAACCACAGAATTTCAGCAGTTCCTTAAGGGAAGTATAATTTCTTTCAATTTTCCCCTTGTAAACAAAAAACAGTGAAATGCAATTTCCAAAAAGAAGCACTTCGTAACTAAATTTGGTCAAGTAAAGCAATACTTTATTTTAATTTCACAAATGTATTGTTTCTGTACACAGTTGCAATCATGAGTATAGACTAGCCTGTTGGAAGGATAGGAGCTGTCAAAAGATAGAGAAGGACAGGCCTATTCAACAAAGGAGGAGGCAGAACACAAGCAAGGCCTACCTTTGTGTGGGAGAAGTGGTCTGGGGCACATGGCTGTGACAAACTTTGTGGAACATAAAACAAAGAGCAACGATAAAGTAGATTTAATTGAATATAAAATAAAATAATTAGGTGGGCAATCTGGAAGGTAGAACAACAATTTCCACAGTGTTGGAAAGTGACTAATTTACATCTGAATGTCATCCTGTGCATGGTGATTCTGGGTGAATTTTAGGGAGCACCAAGAGCTGTGATTTTCCTCTTTTTTTCCTTCATAATGCAGATTTAGATTAAACTAAAACAGTAACAGGGTTTTTCAAACTTTTTCAAGGCTGAGGAAGCTGTTAGTTAAAGGAAACATTCCTGGAACCTCTAGAAAGGCAAAGATCTAATGATAGAAAATTGCCTGCATTCAAGTTTTTTCCCCTTAGTTTGTCACTGAACCCCATCAAATTCTTTCAGAATCCTAGGGTTCCAGTTTGAAAAACCCTGCCATAGTATAGAGTTGTAATAGGGATTGGATTTTCATGTCTTTGAAGTTGGCTTCCATCTGAAGTCAGTCAGTCAGTCAGTCAGTCAGTCAGTCAGTCAGTCTATCTATCTATCTATCTATCTATCTATCTATCTATCTATCTATCTATCTATCTATCTATCTATCACATAGATAGCCTTTGCTTAGCCCATTGCCTCAACACGGGGCTCAGTGACAAACACCAGAGCTTCTTACCATTAACAGTTGCTCATTCACTGACCTAGAAGGAAGAACCAGAAAGTATTAGGAAGTACCAGGAGGAGGAATGGCTGCCACTCTTGGCTTACTCTTCTGCTCATTCTCTCTGACAAATGGTAGTGATGGGGCTCAAAGGCAAAGGGAGAGCAAGTGGATAAATGCAAGGAAAGAGGGGCACATCATGCCAAAAGTCCCTATACTATACACAACTATTGTTTTCCTGATCTCCAAGTGCAGCATTTTTCATTCAGGTTTCATGCCTTCAAGTTATTGAATATTGGGTAGAAATGTCAACTTACCACTTAGTCAACTTGAGCTCCCTTCCCCCTCTTCTCCTTCTATTGTGTAACTTGCTTTTTAGTTTTTAAGCTCACTAGTAGAAATTGTATTTCATATTTTAAATTGGAAGAATAAAATTTTATATAAGTAAATAAATAGCCTTCATCCCTTACAATAAGATTTCCTTCTGCTTTTATTTGATAAACACATAATGAATGCTATGACATCATGATGGAAAAGCTTCTTGATCTGACCAGTTAGCATGACAAAAAAAGTATTTTGAGCTTCATTTCAGAATAGATATTCTAAACATTTTTGGCAATCCATAAAATATTGCAAAAGGCAACTGATGCATTTGTGAAAATCAGCCCACTCTTACTGTCCTCCAAAGTTACTATATTAACTTACTGAGACATGGGGCTGGAAGGTTATTCTATTTTAATACATATCTAGTGTCTGCAAGATCTTGGGAATAAAAATAATGCACACGTTGATCTTTTACAAGATAAAGTGTGTAGTTCTTGGTGTAGGTCAAATCTCTTTGAAGTCCAGAATATCACCTGGTTCTAGTATCTTCCAAGAAAAGAAAACATCTTTCTCCAAATTCAGTAGGCTGGCTCTGAAATTCCTATACAATTTATATACTTACTAATCCATATGATATTAAACACTATTTTAAAGCAAACATACAATTATAGCTATCTAATAGTGTTTTTTAGAATATCTGTTTATTTTAAAATATAGAGATTGACCGATAGCAAGAAAACAGATACATAATCATGTCTTGAAAATTTAAATAGAGTGTATTTTAACCCACCAATAGCAATCTTGAAACTTCATCATTGTTATTGCCAGCCAGCTCCAAATAGGTTTTCTGAAATCTTTCAGCTCCCCGATCCACAATTACTTTTAAGAGGAAAACTGATCTCGATCTCACCCTGGAAAGAAAGTACTTGGAATAGCTACCACTTTTGAGCAGCTATGATGAATAGTGCCCTAATGGAAGATGAGTGACCATTATGAATGAGCAAGATATCCAAGTCTAGTGGAAGAGCCCTTTTGCAAAAAAAATCAGCATGTCAGTAAGAAATTTTAAAAAGTTCTGCTAGATCAGAGCAAAGCTTCAAGCTGTTTAAGATCCAAATACTACAGAAGCTAGCCACATGCCTTTGGAAACTCCACAATCAGGATATAAAGGGAATAGTAGCAGTTTTGTATTCTTTCTCTTCAAACAAGTCACAATCTTCTTTTGTGAGGAAGGTTGTAGAGAAGAAGGTCGGACAGCAGCTTCAGAGGATCTTGGAGGAAACAGATTATCTGGACCTGAAATGGGTCCAGACTGGGTTTCACGTTTCAGACTGGGGTACAGTACTGGTCGTGTTTGTCTGACCTTTGGTGGAGCTGGGATGGGGGAAGTGCAGGTGGAGCTGTTGATGTATAGAGCCAGTATCTGGAGGCTGTTCAAGTCTGGATGGGGAGAACAGATTTCAGCTCAATCCTGACAAGACTGTAGCTGTTTGGCCCCCAGGGTCAGGGATGTTTCCATCACTGGTCATGGATGGGGTAGCACTTCCTCCTTCTGGATTCACAGCTACTGTTTGAAGAGCAGGTGGCAGCTGTGGCCAAGAGGGTCTTTTCACAGGGTAATCTTGTGTCCTGGTTATGCCTTTTCCTTGACTGGGAAGCCCTTCAGTTGGGAGGTGACTTATGCCCTGGTCATCTCATGACTAGATTATTGCAATCCACTCTACATGGGGCTGCCCTTGAAGACCAGCTGGTACAAAATGCAACAATGGGTGCTTCTGGATATGCCCATGTGTCACTGCTGCTATGCCAACTGCATTGGTTGCCAGTTGGCTTCTGGGTGCAGTCCAAGATGCTGGTTATTGCCTATAAAGCCCTTCATGACATAGGGCCTGGATATTTGAGGTACGGCCTATCTCCAATTGTTTCTACCCACCCGGTATGTTCCAGCAGAATAGATATGTTCCGGATCCCTTCTATTAAATGTTGTCATCTTATGGAACCAAGGAAGCATCCTTTCTCAGTCATGGCCCCTGCCCTCTGGAACAGCATCCGCCCAGAGATACAGATGGCAACCTCTCTCCTAAGTTCCAAAAAGCCCTTAAGACCTGGCTTTGGTCTCAGGGCTGAGGTAATGTGTCTGTGGGGCCTTTGGTGCAGTTTGCTATTGTTATGGTTATTTTAGTCTGGGCTCCCTGTGTTGTTCTGTGCTTTTAACTGTGCTTTTATTGTTTTCTGTTAGCAACCAAGAGTCCACTGGAATGGATGGATCTAATAAAGTAAAAATAACAACAACATGGTTAGAACTATTAGGAAAGAAAAACAAAGATTATTAAAAATGCATTAATACAAAATATAAACCTCGCCGAATTAAATACAACTAAAATTATGTCCTCTGCTAGCTTCAGAAAAATGCTTAAGCTAAGACTTTGGTGAGTCTTAAGTGGAGACAGTGAAGGGAAGCCTATTAGAGACTAGCATGATCTGAGCTCCCTGAACCTGGCCCAAAGTGTCCTGGGATGATCTTAAGGGTAATAAATATGGATCCTTTTAATTCATGGGTCAAGAGAAGTTTTTCAAAGGAAATGGTAACTTTTGAATCTCTCACTTCATTATTTTAAAGAGCCACTTGGCAGCAGTTCAAAGCCATTTGTCTGAGTCCAATGTATTTTTTGGACAGCATGTCCTAAAGTAACCAGGCCAGACAAAGGCAATTTCTTTTCACACACAGGCACTTCTCAAGTACTGTGAACTTAGCTCCCTCTGTTTAGCGTTACTGATCCGTTAGTCTAAACATGGTAGAAGGCAATTTGATGGGAATCATTTCCAGTAAGAGAGGATGTTTCTTCAGCAGTTTTCAAGTTGACTCTGACTCAGGCATTCTCAGGAGACCCTATTTAACTGATCATTAGGGAGATAGCAAAAAGGCATTGAGGAATTTCATAACAAAAATAAGTATCCTATAAAAGATCTCTCGAGAATCCTTCTGGCCATGGGCTCTCAGCATGCTTGAGAGATTTTATTAACACTCTGAAAAAGTAGCAGTGTAGCCAATCTATTATTTGTGTAGAATTTTAAAGATGCGGCATTGTACTTGTTCCAGCAATATGATGAACTGTTATGCTTGTAAAATGCTGCATTCAAGCAAACCGTAATGAAATGTTTAGAACCAATTAACACTCTTTATTGGAACTTGCTAATCAATCCAGAAAGAATTATAGTAAGTTACTAAATGGCTGATAGTCAGAAATATCATAATTTTTCTACATGTGTTGTGCTTATGGGTTTATATGCAAAGCAACTGCTTAAAATGTGAGTTTAAGCCATAATATTCAAAGACCTTAATTCAAAGACTTCTGCCTATTACTTTTTAGCTCCATTCTATATATTTGGTGGTATAAAATCTGACCCATTATTAAATATCTTACTGATTGCTTATTTCTTACATGGATTGACCCCTTTGTCACTTTTATAATACACTTCTATGCTATACATATACAAATGAAGGTTTTATGTAGAAGTGCAGTTAGCATTTTTAAAGAGCAGTCACTCTCATCCAGGTTGGGAGAGATAATGATGTAATAGATGCAGATGCATTTTAAATCTTACAGTAGGTCTTTTATGCTGTCGATACAATATCCTAGATGTGAATTCTACTAAGCACAATTATGCTTACTTCTGAGTAAATATGCAAAGGATTGCACACTAGATCTGTTGCCCAATCTATCTTCTCTGTTCACTTATAAGATTTGTGGTAGTAGTAATGGTCTTTGGACTGTATCTTATTTGCAAAATATGGTATTTCTGATGAGAAATATGCAAACCTTCCCTGCAAACCACAGTCATTTAGTGTCTCATATATGCCAGGACTTCAGGAGCCAGGATCTGATCTTTTGTAAAATTCAGTGTCTAAGTGAACTATAAGAATATATCAGTTAGTCATTTCCAGTTATACTCGGTAACTGAAAGGAAATAAATGAAATAAAGACAGGGGTTGATAACAGATCTGTAGAATATATAAGCAAATGTCTGAAAGGATTTTTATATTCTGATTTAACCCAATACTGACTTATCAATCAAAAGAGAAAATATTTATGCTCAGCCTGCTCACTAAGGTTGGAAAGGGACGAAGAAGGGGTATGCACATATTTCAGGCAAAAGAAATTGCCTTTATCACTACAGTGTAAACATGGGCTTTTACTAATGCTTGTTTGAATTCACTCTGCATCTTTTTCCAACAGCTCTTCGGGCTTCTCTTCTTGTGTTTCACCTCCTGGAGCTCCTCAGAGAACCATGGTGTACCCTGGGATCGGTATGAACAGGGAACAGTAATCTGGTCTAAGGTCTCTGCCACTATCCATTCCAGGCTGTGACCAAGGCCTTGCTTGACCTGCCCACCAGATCCATGGGGGAAACCCTAAACTCCCTCTGAAAACTAGTCATGGCAATAAGAGAAAGGAAGCACTCTTACTTCTCTTCCTTTACTGCACTGGTGGGCTGTTGGCTGGCTACCTTGTTTAAGATTACTGTCAGCCCTTCAAGATAGATCAGACTAGGAATCCAATGTCATATAGGTCAATACTACTTTTATTGTAAAGCTATTGTAACAGAATCTTGCAAGTCTGAATGCGCTTCTCCCCTCTCTCCCTTTATATGATTGTTATCTTGGTAGTGGCTTTTCATCTAGTCCCTCAAGTTCATTCCCTCTGCCCTTTACAGTTGCAAACTTCCTATTGGAGAGGGAGTCATTGACAGAACTGCCTGACAGCTGTGACCATGTTGCACAACACTTTCCTGACAAAGTCACTCAGATACGTCAAAATCTTGACTTTTCATGGGTGGGGTCCATGATAGAAACTGGGGTGATGTATTGCCACATTATCAGGGATACCTTCTGGCCTGTGGACTTTAATGTAATGGATGGGGGTTTACTACATGTCTTCTGCCACTGTAGGACATGTAAGGGGTTTACTATATGTCTTTTGTGGGTTGTGGAGAGCCAGGGGGGTGACCAGCTGCCTCTGGGAAATAGGCAATACCTCATTGCTAGAGGTGGTGTTTCCTTCTGCCTTGAAAGAGTCTTAAGATGGCCTCCCTGGATCACGTTGGATTACTACTGTCCGGTGTCTAACCTTCCCTTCTTAGGGATGGTTGTTGAAATAGTGGTGGGAAGATA